CAAGTTACTCTTCAAGCCTCGTGTACGGTTGAGTGAGAGGATCGACGCTACCGTGGCCCTTGGCGGCGAGAACGTGGCCAGAGTGTCGTGGAGGAACGGAACCGAAGGTGATCGGTTTGTTGAGCTCACGTTGGAGAAGCCAACCGTGGTGGTGAGTCAGCTGCCTGATGGTGACGAGGTGAACCACGGTACGGTCCAACACCTGCATTTGTTGGTTGAGTAGATTTCTGTAAGAGTTGCGTTGGGTTGACAGTCTTCCACATGCTGTCTGGAAAGATGACAGGACGGCGTAAACATGACTGGGTTTCGTTTCACCACCATAGACATAGGTATTGCTCCAGACTTGTCTGATGTGAGGGAGCTTCCAGCCAGGCCACACAAAATGTGACAGTATCTAGTGGTATTCACGTTCAGAGATGTTCCCTCTGGCTAGCCGCAGGCGCATAGATCCAACTGAAACCAGCTGAATATGCCTGTTCAAAGGCGTTTTGGTTCTGTCACGACTAGAAGCAAATCAAGCCATAACATGTCAATCACCAGAAAACTCAACAAACCCAGTATCAGCTGAACTTCAGCAGCCAAGCCTTTGCCAGCTCCATGGCCTCGTCACATGTCCCCTTCTTGCACAGCGTTTCCAGGTCTACATCTGCAGCCATGCTGCACTGACAGCGCAGCCACACCCAATCAATCTTGCCACGACAAAAAAACGCCCGAAGAAGAAACAACGGTCGGTGACCTGGGGACCCGACCCCAGATGAGCGGTGACGGACTTCCATGTCGGTCGCTGCCTCAGCGGCTATCCGCAACCCAAAAATGCGGCCGCATCGCCGGCGCACTGTAGCGGAGAATACGGTCATTGTGTTTCACGACGTAAGCCCCGAAGCGCGCATGCTGGGCGTCACTCGACGATAACTAGCGCGCGCGAGATGAAGGGTCCATGTCGACCGGGAAAGGCATCATCATTTGGTGTCGGGCCGGTGCTTCAGTGAGTCAATCTGTTGCGATCTATCGTCTTTGGTCTTCGACTTTGTCCCTTTGCTGTTTGTCTCGAAGTTAGATGAGGCCTCTTCATGTGGGACCCCGCCTGTCAAAGAAGGCCGCACTTCAACACTAGCCTAGAATTTAGGCATGGCCGGCACTCTAAATCCCGGGCGGGTTATTCATGCAATGCACTGTCGATGAACGGAGAGAAATGAAATGAGCAGCCGGGTGCTCTGCGTGGGTGAGGAACCGCCGCCCGAGGATTCGGGAAATGAGAAGGGGAGCGGGTAGGCTCTGGTGCGTCAGGGCGAAGGTAGCCACGCCGACCACTGAAACGAAACGGTGGCCTGGGCGGAAAGTCCCTTTGGAAGAATTGGCACACACACACTTGATGTCCAGGGTCCAGTAGCACACGACTTGGATCGAGGTCGGGAATGACAGAAGGTCGGATGAGAAGACGTAGTCGGTCGCGCGTTGGAATGACGGCGCATTCTTGGCAGTGGATTGTGCGACGACCAGCGCGTGGCTGAGTGAGGGCTTTTGGCCAATGCTAATGGCATTGCCGATGCCGTTGCCACGGTCTGGAACGGCGGCGGCCAGCGTGCGCGGCATTTGGGGCCCAGCGCCAGATGTCAGGTGGAGAGGTTGACTCGAACAAGGCCATTGTATGTCTGCCTGGTGTCGCTGTCGGGCTCGTCTGGTCGCCTCATGTCCCGTCGATGGGCAGACGCTTGGTGGGCGCTCCCGTTAACGTGTGCGTTCGCTGGCGCGCGACCGTCGTCTCAACGGGACCGGCGCCAACAGTCCTCTCATCTTATGGAGGGGACCACGCCAGTCGATCAATGACCCTTGATTGCTTGATTGCTTACTTGCTTCCTAACGGAGAGGGTGTGAAGGCCAGGGAGGTAATCGATGTCAGGTTTCGTCTGGTTGAGCTCTGGGACCTTCCAATCCTCCCTCCTTCCTTCCTGGTCCAGTCATCGTGTTGCCCTTGCCCTCTCCCAGGTGCCGCCATGCCACTGCCATCTCTGGCGATCCGGGGCCCAGCAGGCGGTCCTTCCGAGCTATGGTGGAAGAAGCAGCCAATAGGGCCATGAGGTACGCCGATGAGCTGGAGCTAAATTGATTTAAAGGGGAGAAGGTCTAGGATGCCTGCTGCAGGGGCGATGCAAGGTACACATCTCTAGCGCGTTTCACGATTCGGCCCCTGCCTTCGTTGTTGGCTTCCCTTTGGTCATGCCCACTTGCCAAGACTGCAGACCGAATGTAACTGACAAAGGGTGATAGAATTGCTCTTGCCCTGTTCAGACCTTGCTCTGCCTCGTGCTTTCCGTCTTTGCCAATTTTTTTTTTTTTTTTTTTTTTTTTGGGTTGACGAGGGGCCTTACGCCGAGTGCCGTTCAAGTCGCATGTGAAGTCAGGTGTGGCTTCCGTTCGGACTGCCAACTATTGATGTGGCCTCGACTCATGTAGGTAGCAATGCGTCGTCAGTGGAGGGGACCGAAAAACCTGGAGGCGGGATGGCAGCGCGGGACAGAGTAGGTAATCGAATTGGCGCGCGGGATTTTGTTTCCTGCATCTCGATATGGTTTTCTGGCAGAGTCAGGATAGCCCTGCTTCGGGCGAACGTCCCTGTCCGTCAGCGGCAACTGCCACGAAGACCAGGCGAAACGTTGTCAGCTGGGAAGGGAGAAGAATGGGACGAACAGACGGCGCGTCGCTCTCTGGTTCGACTGGACTGCCTGCCCTCTTTCCGTCTCTCCGTCGTTTTGTCTTCTTGTCTTGGGATGTCCCATCCGTTTGAAACGGTTGCTCCGAGCCACGGGCGACTGATTTGCACTTGGTGGGATGCGGCGCTGCTCTATGGAAAGGAGAGTGAACATTCCGTCGACTGGCTTTCCCACATGCTTGAACATGGCGCCCAGCAGCACGTGCGACCTGCCTCGTCGCTTGTCGAAGCAAATGGCCAGCTCTTATTCCGTCGTCTTGTCCCTCCCAGCCGTTGTCGAGCACGACGGCTCTCTGGTTCCAAGGGCCAGGCCAATCCAGGAACTGGGGGCTGACGGCGTGCTTTGGGGGGGGGGGCGATCCCCATTCCAGGACCCGCCAAGCCTAACCGCCCCCTTGGCCCCCTGAGTCCAAGTGGGGGCTTCTAGCATCCCGTTGGAAGGCGCAAGTGGGGACCCGCCCGCCAACGCTTTCCACGTCACTGGTCTCGGGCGATGCTGCCAGGCACAGGCGTGGGCACGCAACGCGCAGCACGCACCAGACACCTCTCTTTCCTTCTGCAGCACCTGACAGCATTCCAGAGGCTCGATTGTCCCATTGATTCCGGCCCTTGTTTGTGTTCGCTTGTCGATTTGACCAAAGATGCCGTTTGCGACGAGACAATCAGAGTACGATGTCGTGGCTGATCCTAACACTCCAGACCTTGATTGATCGACCGTTCGCGGAGCCTCAATCTCACGATCATCGGACGTTTGGCCACGTCCCGACATCCTAGTCCGTTTCCCAGGGCATACCAGGCCCCGGGGCTGTCGCCGGTTGGCTCGTTTGGTTGCCTGGACGGACATTTGGGCTATTGCCTGGGGCTTGCGCCGGCCCTGGTGCGATGATGGCAGGGGCTTTGCCAGGTCGACCATAGCTGTCTCGCCTGTCCCTTCAATTTCGGTGCTTGAACTCTCATCACAGGCCCCGGCGGACTGACCCGACTCGCATCTCCGCAGCTTGACGACTCAGAACCTCGAGAAGAAACAAGTGGAAAGCAAAAAAAAAACTTGCATGGCCGTGCCTCGAGCCAAGTGGCCCGGCGTCTCCCAGTGCCGTTGGGTGGGTGGTGCCACGCACAGGATTTCAACGGCTGGACACGCAGAAAACTTGACTCAACCCAATCACGACCGCAGCATGATTCACTGAAGGATGCAGGTACAGCGCTGAGGAGACGTGTAGCTGCACACCCTTTCGGCAGGCCCCATGGAAAGCCACTTGTCACAGCCAAAGTGGTGTCCCCGTTCCGTTGATGGTTGCTGATGCCCTGCGAGATACCTACTGCTCTGTTTCTTTTCCCCCCTGATGACAATAGTTCCTTCATCGTCGGCGCTGCTAGCTCTACCACTGGTTTGTCCCTGGAGGGATGCACTGCTTTGTCCCTTGAAAGAACAATGGCCAGGACAATCTTGACAGGAACGACAGGCAAAGAATCGAGCTCTTGCTATTGTCAATCCCAAGCGGGATCGGTCTCAATAAAGAAGGCCGAGGATGGCGAGGATGCTCATGCTCCCTGATGTCAACATGTTGTTCTAACGTCGTCAGACAGCTTGGTCTTCGTTGGGCGACTTGGGGGTACTCCCTGGCTTTCTACGCACGGGACGGTGGCCCACCGTTTCCCCCTTGGGCGTCCGTCAGCTCGGACGGGACCCATGCGACCCCTGCTGTCGAGACACTCTCAAGCCTCCCGGTGGTGGATGAGGTCACGGACAGGCGCGAACGGCCAGCCTTTGGGCCATCGACCCCCCTGGTCTTGGCCGTGGGGTCTGCCATGCCAGACGGTGGCCCACGCCCCCATCCAGCGACTCCACGCCATATAATTCACAGCCCCCCGCCCCTTCGACGATCTCACGGCCCCCTTGTCATGACCTCACACCTTGCAACCTTCTCTTGTCTCTTGCTTTTTTTGGCATCTTCGCCGCCTGTTCTTTTTTCACAGACACCATTTCACTCCTTCCAACCCCTCGAAGCTTGCTGAGCCTGCTGAGCACTACCTCACTTTCATTCCTTCGAACAACATCTACCAGACAAGTCCCTCCTTCGTGACTCGTTTGCCACCTTCAACCTTCATTCAACCTTAACTCGTCATCTCGGACCACAAGTCTACAGAGGTGTCCGGTCTTCCATTCATTTGAGGTGCTCATCGGGTATCAGCACTCAACAGCAGCCAGCTCAGCTACAACGACAACATTTACCCCAAACTTTGCGTATCACCTTGTTCAAGCCTCCAAACAACACACCCATTCGCCACCATGAAGTACTCAGCTGCTGCTCTCGCGGCCGTCTTCGGCACAGCCGCCGCCTCTCACCCGGGTGCCTTTGCCGTCCTTCGATTCAACGGAAAGGAAAACGTACAAGGCCGTATCGATCCCATCGTCTCTCCTAACGCTGTAGCCCAGCACGTCCATGGCGCAGTCGGCGGCAACAACTTTGCCAAGGACTCCACTGGCGAGTCTCTGGCCTAGTCTGAGTGCACCAGCGCCAAGGCTCTTGACGACAAGAGCGCCTACTGGTTCCCCTGGCTCTACTTCCACGACGAAGCCAAAGATACTTTCGAACCCGTTGACATCAACTATGTCAACGTTTACTACTTGTAAGTTTCTCTCTGTGTATCTCGTATTGCATTTCGCTGTGAACGGAACTGACTGGCTCCAGCTTCGACAAGACCGATGATGATATCAAGGCCTTCCCTCAGGGCCTTCAGATCGTCGGCGGCGACGCCAGCACCCGTGTCGCTCCTCAGACGAATGGCAAGCTCAACCTTGATCCCAGCAAGGGTCCCATTCAATCTGCCATGTGGACCTGCCCCCGTGCCGGCGGCCAGGAGAGCCCTCCGTCGTGGCCCGCCAACTCGGATGGCTCGACCGCCGGCCAGAGGCACCCCATTGACCACGGCACGGGAACCGGTTTCCCTGACGTCGACTGTGATGGCCAGTACTCTCCTCTTCGCGCCGACATCCACATGCCCTCTTGCTACAACCCCGAGGAGGGCCTCACCTCTTACAAGACAAACATGGCCTTCCCCACCGATGTGAACGGCCAGAAGAACTGCCCTGAGGGATGGATCCACGTCCCTCACATGTTCTACGAAATCTACTGGGACACTCCCAAGTTTGCCGATCGCTGGAGCGGAGGCCAGGGCTCGCAGCCCTTTGTTCTCTCCAACGGTGATGTGACTGGTTTCAGCTCCCACGCCGACTTCCTCGCCGCCTGGGACGAGGATGTCCTCCAAAACGTCATCGACAACTGCAATGCCGGTCACGCAGGTCTTCACTCTTGCCCCGGTGTCAAGGTTAACGACAACAACGGCTGCAAGGGTGTCACCACCGTCGATGAGATCGTCACTGGCGTCCTCAGTGTCCTGCCTGGTGATCGTCCCCTTGAGGGCTGGACCTATGGAACCAAGAACGGTGACGGCACTGGCTACAATGCCCCCAAGCCCGATTCTGGTGCCAAGCCTACCACCGCCGCTGCCACGGCCCCCAAGACTGAGCCCACGCCCGAGGCTGCTGCTACCGATCTGCCTTACCAGCACGTTCCCGAGGCCGAGGTCAAGAAGGAGGCCGCTCCCACGCCTGTATTCTCGTCCGTTCCCGAGGTCGGCGCTGAGAAGCCTGTCGAGACTCCAGAGCCCACGCCCGCCCCGGTGCCCGAAGCCCCTGTCGAGGACGTGAAGCCAGTGTCCTCTTCGTCTTGCTCCAAGACCACCAGGACTGTCTGGGAGACCGTCACCGTGGTGGCCACGGCTACCGAGGTCATCAACAACGAGCCTACGCCCCAGCCCGTCTACGGCGAGCAGAAGCGCCGTCACGTGCACAACCATGTCTACCGCCACCGCAGCCTGCGCCACTAGAAGTGTTTCGCGTAGCCGCTGCGAGTCCCTTGACTCGCGCGGTCTCACGGTTTTCTTCTTTTGACATTTCTAGGGTGCGCAGAGGAGTTATTTTTGAGTCGAAGGGAAACATACCCCGGACGAAGGTGACGGGGGGAGATCAACGTGATCCTCTCCGTCGTCCTTGTTCGATCCCCTCTGCGCAGTGACGACGGTCATGACCAAAGCACATACAAGCAAGCACAAATCTTCGGGAAGCCATTCCCTGGCGGACAGACAAGGCAACGCCTCACATACCAGTCCTTTGGCACCCACACCATTTTTTGGATGACCATTTTCTTTTCTTTTTCTCTTGTTCAATTCTTTTGCCTGGGCGGGCCTGCTATGGTCGTGCCTGATGGTAAACAACTTGATGCCATTTGTTGGATGTTCAAGTATTTGGGAGGGACTTTTTTGGGTACACGGATCGGGAAAAGGGAAGGCAGAGGCCCTTGGATGGCTATACCCTTTGCTCGCCCCACTGCGGGCTCATAGATGAATCAAACTGATTCCAGTCATGACGTCTCTTCTTGATTTGTAGTTGCTCGTGTCAGATCCGCATTGATTTGTGTTACGAGGTGTTGATTTAAGGTTGTGTCGGGTTGTCGCAAACGTCGAGCCAGCCGGCGGCCGTCCGGCGACACGATTTGTGTTGCACCGCGCGCCACGACGCCACTGTGGGCACTAGAAGGCTTGGGTTCCTGGGTCCAGTCTGCCAGCGGCCGGTTTGATGCTGTGCTTCATGGAGCATGGTATTTGATATCATGGGCAGGGAGCGCGGTGCCGCCTCGATGGCGTCGGACATATCTAACACGGGGCCTATCTATCCACAACGACGCCAAAAGACAGGAAGGCCAATCGCCTGGGGGAAATGTGTCTATCGAAGAGGCTTTCCGGCTGCTCGTCCGCCGAGTTTGTCCGCTCTCTCGAAGTACTTCTACAAAAAGGCTCGGGACGCCGGCTTCACGGCAGCTGGAGCAGATCGGGGGTACTCGGTCACTGTGTGATGAACAGGCGAGTATCAGGTCAGTGCTTGCACTCATGGTCCCTTGATGGTTTGAACATGTGTGATCGTGCATGGTTCCTCAACTTACGTATCCTATGGCCGGCCAAATCAAGGCAGCAACACATCTGTCTTGAGATCGTTGCTACCGTCGAGTTGTACAGGTTGTCTGTCCCCCCCTCCCCCCCCCCCCCCCAAATCCCTTCGCAGATTGTCCGAGGCACTTCAGCGGGCTTGGAAGCGTTGGTCCACTAAACGCTCAGTGGTTCGCAGCGCTGGATTGGGAGCTGTTCGCTGGGGTTTCACAAGGGCGAGGGACCTAAGAGGTGTCAGAAAAGGTGGGACAGCTGCGGACGGCTGGCCGGAAAACTTCTGCACCTCGCCGACAACAAGACCCACATTTGAAGATCTCATCTCGACATCCGACTTCATTCATCGATAGAGTCTGATCCTCACGCCGGCATCACGATTACCTCAAGCCTATTCCCACAATGAGGTGACATTCTCATCCCCTGAAGATCTCCAAAAAAGACTGAACCATGTCTCTATACCACGAGACGGCCGAGATCCTCTCGGCGCCATCCACAAGTGGTGGCAGCCTCAGATCACGCATCTTCGCCAAGAAGGGTCTCAAGTCGCCCCCAGCACAGGTTTATGCCCTCGCAACAGAGACGTGCAAGTGGAGCGAGGTCCTCAAGGAGGTCATCGAGAAAACGGATCTCCTGCGCCATGAGCGCAAGGTAAACACGACCCGAACCCCTCACCAGAGCAAGCCATACTAATGATATTTCTCAGCTCACTCCCATCCTAGCTCTGCTGCTTGTCCATGACTTTCTCCTGGCCAAGTCTGGCATCGCCCTCCCGCAGACGCACGGCCTCCGCTCTGCTATTGATCGCCACAAGGCCCGCCTGACGTCCGAAATGACGCGCGCACGCCTGCGTCGCAAGGCGCCGACTCTCGAGGCTCTACGGGCCGACATCAACCTCGCCGCCGACCCCGAGGGCCGCCACCCCCGCTGGGTCCGTATCAACGCCGTGCGCACCGACCTCGAGATGCAACTGTCCACGACCTTCAAGGACTTCACCCGCGTCATGTCCATCGCCGACGTCGCCGCCTCCACCATGGCGAGCCGCTCCCTCTACCTCGACGAGCACGTGCCCAACCTCGTCGCCGTCTCCCCCGGTATCGATCTCACCAAGACGCAGGCCTACCGCGACGGCGAGATCATCCTGCAGGACAAGGCCTCATGCTTCCCGGCCTACCTCCTCGACCCGCGCGCCGAAGACGGCGACGTCATCGACTCGTGCGCCGCCCCCGGCAACAAGACGACGCACCTCGCCGCCATCATCAAGGCCCACGCCCCCGCGCAGGGCGCCGCCAAGCAGACCATATTCGCCTTTGAGAGGAACGATAAGCGCGCCCTGACGCTCGAAAAGATGGTCAAGACGGCCGGCAGCAGCAAGATGACCAGGATAGGCATGGGCCAAGACTTTACGGGCGTCGACCCCAAGGCCAGCCTCTACGCCAACGTCGGCGCCCTGCTGCTCGACCCCAGCTGCTCCGGCAGCGGCATCGTCGGCCGCGACAGCATGCCCAAGCTTCACCTGCCCGAGGGCCCCGCCGGCGCCGGCCCCGGGAAGGGGCCGGCGAAACCGTCACCCGTCGTGGCCGCGGCGGAGGGCAAGAAGCGCAAGAGGCAGGAGACGGACGAGGCGCAAGCCAAGGCGGTGCTCGTCGACGACGACGGCAACACGACCGAGGTGGCGTCGGAGCAGGACCTACAGAAGAGGCTCGACGCGCTGTCCGGGTTTCAGCTCACGCTGCTGCTGCACGCCATGAAGTTTCCCGCCGCCAAGCGGATCACGTACTCGACCTGCTCCATACACGCCGAGGAGAACGAGCACGTCGTCGTCAAGGCGCTGCAGTCGGCCGTGGCCAAGGAGGCGGGCTGGCGCATCCTGCCGCGGGAGACGCAGGTCAGCGGTATGCGGGAGTGGCCCGTCCGAGGCGACGTCGAGGCTGCTGGCGGCGACGAGAAGGTTGCCGAGGCCTGCATACGAGCGCATGAGGGCGACGGCAGGGGCGTCATGGGTTTCTTCGTCGCGGCGTTCGAGCGGGTTGGGTCGTTACTCGACAGCGACGATGGCCCGTATCTGAGGGACGAGCATGGCGTCATTATCAGGGATGTCACGGGGATGCCCGTGGAGAAGGCCACAGGAGAGGTCGTCGCCTTTGATGACCCGAAGGAGGAAGAAAGCGATGACCACGACTACGCGGAGGAAAGCGAGAGTGGGAGTACCGACGGGCTTGAGCAGGACGGAGAGGAGGAGTGGGGTGGATTCGACTAGAGGGCGCGGTATCTGCATGAATTGGCTTCTTGTTCAGCGGGCATACACCACGTACATTGACCAAGGTCGGATTTTCTTTTAGCTAGACATTGGAAACGCTCTGGCCTGTGATTGGAGTTCAGTTCTTGTCTTTGCACGCACTCTGGTGGCCGGGCTGAAAATGGCCAAAGCGATTGTGGTATTAACTCTGTGGTCTAGATACATGGTACCAACCTGAGCTACCAGCAGCGGAATACCATGACCGATATCAACTGACGCTGGAATTACCAATAACTCAACCTGTCCGCTCAGACCGACCTGGTTACATTTGCTGGAGTCGTGTGTCAGTAAAATCTCCAGAATACACAAAACGTGGGGAGGCCCATACGCGTGCTTCCGACTTTGAGAAGATACGAAGCTTGAGCCGACCGTCGATGAAGCATCTTCAACGGGACCAAGAAGCATAGGCACGCGCCACGCGAGACAGGTTGATACACCTGTCCTTCTTAAACTGGTCGCTGCCCCCATCGGCCCAGAAAGACTGAATGACAGCACTGGTACCGGGGAAACAGCCGGAGTCGTAGAATTCGGCCCTCTGGCGCCCGGCTCCATAGGCCAGCACGCGGAAGGATCTCGCGTTGACGCGCAGGTTGTCGTTCCATCTGCACGTGTTGTCCTCCACATTGATCTCCTGCGCAGCGCCGCCGCCCGCTGAGCAGTCGCGGCTCGAGAAGATGCGAATCTTGTAGGATACGGCTCCCGTGCTCAGAGCGAGCAGGGCAGTGAGGGATTTGGTGACGTGCATGATGGAGGGTTTACTCTGTGAGGGGAGATGTCTGGTTTTGTTGACGCTACCAAGTGAAGAGTTGGACATTGATCTCTTTTATACCCAAATAGCCTTTCAGATCGACGAGCAACCGACATGATTGCCAAGTGAACTACGTTTGGCTCACAGTGTGGCTGTCGATACTTGGGATACATGCAAGCAGGCATGCGTTGTGAAGGAATGCATATGGCAGACGAATATCCGCTCAGAAGTGTAACGGCTCATGGGATTGGCTGCGAAACCGCGTAAAGGCAACCGCTACTTACCCGGAGCCATGAGCCCGAGACTTGGTGCAAGGTCAATGGATGGTCTAGTGGACGGGTGGTTCAGGTTCGATTCTAGACTGCGGAGTGATTGGTGCGCCCGCAATGCGCGTAAACCATTCAACATCCGCGTATAGGCATGCCATTTCGCTCACAACCTCCAGACTTCCGAATTTGAGGTCAAAATCCAAGCTCAGGGTATTTTGCAAGCACAAATATGATTCTATATTCTTCACCAGAAAGTCTGCGCATCACACGTCGATTACCTTGCTTAATATGGGGGCCGTGAGGTTCGAAACAACATGAATACTTTTCCAAAGTTCCGGCGTATTTGTTGTAGCCCACAAGTCCAATCCACCTAATCTTTTGACTGAACCATACAAGTCAATGTAACTCGTGCGCCTTGATTATGGGCGGCATCTGTGTGCTCCAATTGTTGTGCATCGCATTCAGGTAAGGTTCAATACCCCCCCCCCCCACCCCCCTGTGACTTACCGTCAAGTTGCCTATCACAGAGGGAACAATATTGTAACCGACAGGGTCAAGATAACTGTAGCGTTAATTATGATGCGTAACAATTGATTACGGTCTCAATTGCGCCTAACCCTTGCCCTGAGCAGAAAGGTCAATTTGCCACCGTGCCTTATGGCTTCGTCGGGAAAAGGAAATTATGTATTGATAGTCTGCAAACCGTGCGATCTACAGCACATACGACCATACCTACTGGAGAACTCGGGATCCCGTCCGCTCTCCCATAGATAAGCCAGTAAGGGTCGGACTAGTAGTTGGGTGGGTGACCACCAGCGAATCCCTGATGTTGTATGTTTTTTGATGTTTTGTTGTTTCTACGAACTGCCTGATGTGTTGTCCCAATGCTGAGCACATTTTGCTGTTTTTGATGATTGGACGAGGTTTTGATGCGGCGTGATTGGATGTCCTTGTTCACTGCGTGACTGGTTGGCTGAGTTTAGGAACTTTGTAAGCCTTGAGCCTGGACCAGCATATCAGCCCCTAAATCGTCGCTTGTAATGGAAATGCCTCGTTCGCTTTAACTGCCCTTACCAGGAAATGAAGCATTGACCCGTAAAGTACGACTCAGAATCACTTTTCGGAATGCCTGATTTACTAGACGCCCTGGAGTTCATAATGCTGCTGAATATCACTATCAGTCAGAAGTGTACATGCCAGTATACGGCGAGACTTGCGCTACGAACAGAAGAAGAGCATGGATGAGGCACAGCACCAGGCGCACCGATGTCTGTTCTTCAGGACACCCCACAGTCCCTCGGTCTCGACCGACAATTTTTATCTGAAACCGTAGTAGCACGTGGTTTGTAATTTCAGGCAGATAGCAGATGCCCATCGGACTCCCCCGCAATGTAATCATGGCTGGTTTCATCAATCCTTTCTGCGATCTCGTCACTAAACAGCTACCGGGATCCGTACCAGTGTAATGTCGATGTACGCTAATAAACATATCGACCTGTCTGAATACACGCATCGTCCATTGATTGCCCCAGCATCATTCGCGTGAACTGACAATACTGCGCTGCGTCGACACCAGTTACTTCATCTCCTCACTATAGCCTTGCTATGAGTCTAGGTGAAAGGATTCGTTCGGACTGGCCACGTCCCTGAGATCATCCCGATGACACAGCATGGTTTTCCTGCGACAATGCACAATGCCGAGAACGTAGATAGCTGCATAAGGAAGAACGACCATCAAGGGCAAAATATATTGAGAGAAGAAAAAGTATTTACTGGGCCACTACATGGGCCGGCATGTCGAAACGATCGTCTCCTGAAACTCGTCTTCTTTGTTTCCAACGCATTGTCTTCATTCACCTTCGCTGAAAAATCACTCAGTAGATGACGGGCCAGCCATTACTGTCGTAACGAATAAGGTTGATGCCGAGCTGCGCAGTGCCTGCGTTGTTGTAGTAGTGGTAGACCAGCACATCGCCATCACCGTCGGTGAAGACAGCGTTGTGGCCCGGACCGTGAACGGAGCCGTGGCTCGACATCATCTGGGTGCCACCACCCTGCATCATCTGCTTGCCGCTCTTGTCGACGTAAGGCCCAGTCACACTCGTGGATCGGCCGACCATGATGCGGTAGGTGCTAGCGGCACCCTGGCAGCACCTGTCGAAGGACACCCACAGGTAGTAGTAATTTCCTTTGCGGATGATGAAGGGCGCCTCGACAGCACCTCCGTTGTCAGGACGGGAGGCAATGGAAGTAATCTTGTTGTCGGAACGCTTGCCTGTCTTGGGGTCGAGTGCCACAATCTTGATGCCGGACCAGAAGGATCCAAAGGAGAGCCACCACTTGCCGGACGCGTCGACAATGAGGTTGCCATCGATGGCGTTGTAGTTGCTGTTGTCGAATGACTCAATGACGAGACCCTGATTGGTCCACGAGCCAGACAACCCTGTAGTGCTCGTGGCGAGGAAGATGGCCGAGCGGCTGGACCCAAAGCTCGAGGCGGAGTAGTACATCAAGTACTTTCCGTCATGGTAGGAAATATCCGGAGCCCAGAGGTTCTTTTCCCCTTTGGTGTAAGTGGTCGTCCATGGTGCGCCGTTGGGGAATGCCGGGCCGGCGTTGCGCCAGTTGGTGCGGTCGCTAGACGTCTTCAGCTGGACGTTGTCGCCGGTGTAGGCAGCCAGGTATGTTCCGCCGGGAGTCTTGACAACCGTAGGATCGTGGATGAAAAGGTCGCCAGTGACAGGTCCTGGGTTGACATTCTGTCTGGGGACAAGTGTGTGCGCCATCGTGGACATGGCCAGCATGCCGCTGATGGCAAGTCGCCGGAGTGACACCATCTTGAAATTGGAAGCGAAAATTTGGGGATGAAGTAAAAATTGGTGGCGGTGCGAGGGCATCAACGATTTCAACAGCAGCGTCGCCAAACTGCTGCCGTTCTCTTTATAAGGCTTGCCATGCTGACCCCTTGCTCGGTCGAGATTCGGTCGAGATTTCGTCCGGCATTGGTCCAGCCGCCTAGCCAGCGTCCCAGTCCACGTATGCCCCTGTGCCTTAGTATCAACAGTCGCGGGAACACCCCGCTTCCTTTCTGTCCTAGCGCCCCTCGGAGTAATTGCCAAGTGGACTTCGGCACTCGGTTGTCAAGGGTACCGACCGCCTCTCGGTGGTCTTAGAGATGTCTGCCACACAACGCCCATCCCCCTTCTCTGCTGCTCAACGGAGTCAATTCTTCCTTCAAATCGCAACTGTTCCTCCGCAAGAAGCTGATGTGTCGTGGCGCCACATCGCCTATCGTGTTTCGTGGAGGGAACGAATTCACCTAACTGGTGGTAACAAGCATACTATCAAGTTCAGTAGGTTTTAACTGTGGCACGAGTCCCGACCAAGGGGCTGACCAGGGGCCCGTTATTTGATGAGTTACCCATCGATTGCTCCAGTATCTTGTCTATATGGCTTGTAGACCAGCCTTACTAAGGTGGTATAATTTTGTGCAAGGAAAGGAACGTCACTGTTCGTACCGTCTAAGCGCCCCCCC